TGCACGGTTCCCGCCCCCTCCCGCCCCCCCCCCCCCCAGCTCCTCCCTGCCCTGTTCCCGGCTCCCTCCCCCCCCCCCCCCCCGCCCGGTTCCCTACCCGGTTCCCACCCCCCCCCCCGCCCGGCTCCCCCCCGCCCGGTTCCCGCCCCACCACAGCTCCCCCCCTCCCGGTTCCCTGCCCTGTACCCGGCTCCCCCCTGCCCGGTTCCCTGCCCTGTACCCGGCTCCCCCCTGCCCGGTTCCCGTCCCCCCCCAGCTCCCCCCTGCCCGGTTCCCCCCCCAGCTCCCCCCTGCCCGGTTCCCGCCCCCCCCCAGCTCCCCCCCGCCCGGTTCCACCCCCCTCCCCGGCTCCCCCCCGCCCGGTTCCACCCCCCCTCCCCGGCTCCCCCCTGCCCGGTTCCCGTCCCCCCCCAGCTCCCCCCTGCCCGGTTCCCGCCCCCCCCAGCTCCCCCCCGCCCGGTTCCACCCCCCCCCCCCAGCTCCCCCCCGCCCGGTTCCCGCCCGCCCGGCGGTTGCCTCCCGCCCCCTGCCGGCCGCGCCGCGCAGCGCCCCGCGCCGCCTCCCGCCCGCCCCGGCGGGGCCCGGCCGCCTGCGAGCGGCGGGCAGGCAGCCTGTCCTGCCCACGGGTGGCACCGGGGGCCGTGGGTGGGTGGGTGGGTGGATGGGGGGGGAGTGGGGACTGGGGGAGGGTCACGCCTCTTCGCCCCCTCTTGCAAAACTCCCGCCCGCAGCTCGACGGCCGCTCCGGTTGAAGACCACCGAAGGGAACGGTGGTGGGGCGCGGTCGGTGGACGCAGCCGAGGCGGACACGTTTCCACCCCACGCGGCCCTGTTTGTCACGTCCAGAAGGACGAGCGGCAGCCCAGGCACGTGTCTTTGGGTGGCTGCATTGACGTGCGGGGGTATCGGGGGGGGTGTGTGTTTGTGCGTGACGTGGGAGGTGTGAGATCTGAGTGAGCCGGCTGCCTCGTGCGTGGCGTTTGCATATTTTATGCTTGGGAAGGCAAAGAACACCAAGTTTTCACGGGCAAATATTTGCATATTTTCCACTTGTTTGAGCAGATAAAGCATTTCAATGTTAAACCCCCAGGAGAGCCAGGAACATCTTTAGGAGGGTGTTTCCCTTTCTTGGATCTCCCTGACTCTTTTATCTACTGGCTATCCTACTTCAACAACTGATTAACTGCTTCTTGCCCCCTCCCCACACCCCCTTGTTCCCCCACCCTGTACAATACCTGAAGCAGAACGTGACCTGGATAGTTTTGCTGCTGCCTGAGCTGAGCTGCTGCGTTTCCCTGCTGATGACAAATACAGCAGCTCCCTAACAACAGCTTCAAATGACATTAAGTGTGGGCTTGTGTTAGTAACAGCCTGGAAACGCACCCTTGCCTCTCCACATTGGAACCCCTCCCCACTTGCCATCCGCTGCCCTTCCAGTTTCTCTCCTGAAGATCCACTGCAGAGCAAAAGGGTCACGCTGAGTGGGTCCGAAGCCGCCCCAGGCCGCTGTTGGGCTGGCAGAAACGTGCTTGGGTGTGCACGGGTGGTGGGTCGGTGTGTGGGGAGGGTCATTTGCAACACGCAGTTGTCACCTCCCGGTTTTAGCTCGTGCCCAGGCTGTGCATATGAAGGTGGATGTGTACTGCGTTCTTGTGTTCATGTTTGGGCCGAGAGGTATGTGTGTATCTGGGTATGTGTGCACTGGCGTGGGTGGCTACATATGGTCTCGTGCACACGTAGATATTCTTGAATCGAAGCACCCACAGAACATGAATATGCATATGTATTTATACACATTCACACAGTCATACGTGCCCCCCCCCCACGCATGCAATCACATCAAAACTCATTTGTATGCGTGTATACGCATCACGTACATGTTCCTCTCCGTATCCGCTCTTGTGCACTCTGATGTGTGCACATGAACTCTGTGAGCAGCTGGCAGAACGGGCTCTCCGCGTCCCTGACACCCCGTCTATGATCAAACGTTTACTGGGGAGAGGCACTGCACAATGCTGCTGAAATCACTGCGGCCCTTTCTAGTCTTGCAGCTCCGATCTCTACGTGATGAGAATAAAACCTTTTGTGCAGCACAGGGCTTGATGGAGCCCTTATCTCCGTGCCTCTGCACCCAGAATAGAAAAATCCATTTCCACATCTGACTGGAACAAATCCCCCTGAACATGGCCAGAATTTCACTTAGCCACTGCACATGGTCCCCATGGCCTCTGGGTTGCCCGGAGTCAACCGCACCATCGTTAGGAGAGGGAGAGGGATAATAAGGGCAGTTGGATTAATGTTATTACCACAGAAAAAGCTGTGGATTCACCAGGAGGGAGACAGAGCTGAGAAGAGAGAGGCAGGGGTCAGGAGACAGCGAGGTACCATCTATCATTCCAAACATGTTCTTATGAAAAACAGCCTTTTAATCAATGGTGATAGTTTGCAGAATTTTGTACCATTCATTTTCTTACAAATTTTGGACAAAAACACCTTTTCTTTTCCCTCCCCCAGACTTATTTTCAGTTCATCTCCTTTTTTTTTTTTTTTTTTTTTTTCCCCATTTTGTCAGTGAAATGACACTGGATGCAGCATAGGGGGGAAAAAGAAAACACAAGACAGAAAAACATGATGCTTGTGACCCTCTTCCTTTAAACTCCTGTTTAAACTAAAGATCCCCGGTGCTTTGCAGGCCTCCCTGGAACACACGTTGTTTTCCCCAGCAGGTTCCCCTGCAGAGCTGCCTCTCTAGTGGGCTCAGACTGCATGTATCAAAATGATGTCTCCTTGGCACACTTGCTTGGTGCCGGCATTGCAGCACTTGGGCTCTTCAGAGATGTGGGTATTTTAAGAAGCCAACCAGTTAGTGGAGTTTCTTGAGTGGTGACTTGCAGCAGATGGAGCTGCAAAGGAGTGAGAAATGAAGTCTCAGCTTAAGTCAGTGGCGAAGGAGATCATTTCTCCTCTGTCCTACAGTGATTGCTGAGTTGGTGGTGTCCAGCACTCACCTTGCCCTGTTCCTCACTGCAAAAGGAGCAACACAGACCCCCATTTAAAGTGCTGTGTTGTCCATCTACCTGACCACCTGGTCGCCAGAGCTTTTAATCTTCCTACTGTTTGTTGCTCCATATGGAGGCAGGAGCTTTGGCGCTTCATCTTCGTCGTGCTAGGATTTCTTGATTGTGCTTCATCCAGTGGATGCTGTGGGAGCTCCCCAAGTGGGAAAAAAAAAAAAAAAAAAAAAAGAGGCTTTTTTAGTCCAACAGACTGTGTATCCCATACGCATGAATAGTTTGGCTGCTTTTCTCGCTGAGGCCCACAGTGTGAGCAGCTGATGCATGGATGGGAGGAGGAGGAGATATGAAGTAGTAGCAGAGGACAGAAACTGGCTACCAAGCATTTTCTTTTCCCTGTGAGTTGAGCCTGCACTCCGGGGTGTCTGGCTGCCCACGCTCAGGGGAGCAAGCGCGCTTTGTAAGAGGAGCTAAGCAATAGGTGTGTGGTGTCGCTGGTAGCTCAGCTCCCGAGGCTGAGCCCACAGGCATGGACAGCTTGACACGAGCATCCCAGGCTCAAATAGACGCAGGGATGAAGGATTTACAGGGACAATCTTTCTCTGTCAGGAAGGTGGCTGAGAGCACAGCTGAATGTCTTTTACTTGGTCGTGTTTGTAGTCCCTTCCCACCCTTCCTCTGCTCTCTGGCCTGGCTAGGAAATATCTCCTCACCTGACGCCCTGTGACTGTCCTTTCCTGAACTTGTGTGCCCTGCACTGCAGTTCCCCTTATGCCTGCCAGGCCTTCGCTTCTTCTCACATTGCCTTTGGGTGACCTTGTCTCTTGCTTCCTCATAAAGTGGTTCTGTTCCTATCATCCTCTGCTGCTGCAGCTTGTTCTGCTTCCCAGTCCAGGGTTTTTGTCTTCTTTCTCAGCACATCTGACCTCATGCCATCCCTTTACATCTCATGCCTTCTCCCAAGTGACCTGTGAGACATCTTTCCATCACCCAGCCAGCTCTTGGCACTGACCCTCCATGGGCTGCATTCTCCAACATCTCCCGACCTCTGGGAGGCATGCGTCCTCCTGGTGGGTCTCTCCTTCACATTTCTTAATATTATTTGTGGAGAAAAGTGCCCAGATATAACCAAGGGTTCTAGTATGAGAGTCTTCTTGGTGGCTGTAGCTTAGCAACAGCATTCATGGAGAAGTTCAAGGTGTGGAGACAGACATTTAACAGAGACTGCAGGAATGAAGCCAAAGAGGGGAGAAAGACCTTCATCCCACCCACCCGCGTACGTTGCTGCTCCTCTAGCCTGCACACTCAGACAGGCCCACCCACAACTTCCCTCCAACAACCGATGCACAGAAGCAACACACATGCTCTCACACTCTTACCCAGTCGTTCACATGTGCACACATTTCCATACTTGCATGCCTACACAACCGTATCTATACTTAAACATCCCACAATGACATAAACATACTTCCTTGTCTGTGTTTGTATACACTTATACACATGCATACCCCTTTATGTACTTTTGTACACACTCATACACACCCCACAGCCACAGACAGATTAGCATCAGTGCCCAACCCACGCACATCTCCCACCTACCCTGACTCCTCAATCTCTGATCCTGTTCAGCCATTCTCATACATGTACAGACCGGTGATCAAACTTTCACACGTAACCACCTTTGCACACATGCAGACACATCATTCCTTCTTCATCCTGAGCCAAATACTCTACCATTTCCCACATGACAAATCAGTTCCTAGCATTGCCCAGACTCCTGCAACCATAGCTCTCACACGCTGGAGATCCCCCAACCTCCCTCTGCTCCCTACCCCCATCCTGTACTGATACACGCCTCGATCTCCCGTACCAGCCAAACATTACTCCATACAGGGATCAACTCATCTCAAAGACATTGTGTGCTCTCAGGAGACCCAAATCTATAGCACCCCCCCACCCCTAAACACACAGAATGGTTCTGCCCAGTTGGCCTTTTAAGTCCAAAGGCTTTGTGTTTATTTACAATACAGCTTAGGGAGAGGAAAAGGGAAAGGGCATTTCAGCTTGTAAGAAATCCTTCCTCCAACCCATGCCTTGTTTTCTTCTTCTCTACTCTTGTTACACCTTCTACCAGGGTGCAGAGGCACCAGGGAAACCCTGAAGAATGAGAGGTGCAGGAAAGAAACGTCCCATTTGCTCTCCCAGGTAAGTCTCATCAGCCTGCCCAGAGTCCATGAGAGCCCTGGAAAGAAAGAGGACGCTTTAAGCAGTCAGAGTGCTCTCCAACCACAACCAGCATGGGTAGGAAAGTTGTCCCCAAGACTTGTTGGAGAGCTAGAGAAAGGTCAGCCATTCATGCAACTGGCTGGTATGTCTTCATCGCGGACATTTTTCCTTCCTGTTTTTTTTTTTTAGGGTGAACTGCTTCTCACATTTATAAGAAAGATAATCAAGGCATTGGGATGCCCACTTGTATATGCCATTTAAGGACTTCCTTGAGGTGCCACAGTCAGATGGCGGCTGATGCCCTTCATAGCTGGGTCATCTAAGGACAGGTCACGCAATCTAGAGCTGACCTTGCTCTCTCCATACTGTCAGTGCCCATCATCTCTTCAGCATTCTCCAGATGCAGTCATTCCTTTACCTGGTACCACACAAACCCCAGGTGTCCCTTCCAAAGCCAAGAACAATGCCTTGCTTTTTTCCACAAGTTCATGGAGCCCTCTTCATCTTCAGTCAGAGTCTTGGACCTTAACATTCCCTCGTATCAACATCACCCATTGCCTCTGAGGTGGAAAAACACAGAGGGTGAAGGGGATCCCATGTCTCAGTGTCTCTTTCCCCTGCACCATCTTTTTCATCATAAATAACTGACATGCAACTTGTTGCTCTTTTCGCATCCCACAGGCTCCTCAGGGAGCGGTTTTTGCTCATTGCTTTCTCCTTCCCCACCGCTTAGGGGATGCTCCTGCCTGTCATTACCATTCTGGGTGATCTTGCTGATCTCACCCTCTTCCCCTTCATCATCAGTTTTGTCTGGGGGGCATTCTGGCACCTCCTGGCTCTGGACTCGGCGGGACGGCCTGAGGATGGCCCTCCGGAAGCCCTGCTTGAAGCGGTAGGAGAGGAAGCCATAGATGATAGGATTGGCACAGCTGTTGGCGTATGGAAGCACCACCACGAGGAAGTAGACACCAAAGAGGGATGGCTCCTCCGGCAGAGGGCAGACGACATTGATTATGTTGAGGACATAGAAGGGGAGCCAGCAAAGGACGAAGACAGCCACAACAGCCACCACCATGCGAGTCACTCTGCGCTCTGAAAGCTTGTGCTTGGAGGACAGAGCCCTCACCCGCCTGCCAGAGGAACGAACCTTCACAACGATAAGAAGATAGCAGAGACAAATCACCAGCAGTGGCCCAAAGAAGCCCAGGGTGGCAGTGTAGACGATGAAGCCAGCTCTCCACACCGAGGCAGGCTCTGGCCACTGGATGTGGCATGTGCTCATCCCTAAAGGGACGTCAGAGAAGACGACCACGGGCAGTACCACCACGGAAGACAGCACCCACACAGTTGCGCTCACAGCCTTGGCCACCCGTGCTGTCCGCCATTTGGAGGACTTCCCCGGGTGGACCACGGCCAGGTAGCGATCAACGCTCATCACCGTCAGGCAGAAGATGCTGGTGAACTGGTTGATGGCATCCACGGCCATCACCAGGCGGCACATGAAAGACCCAAATGGCCAGTAGGACAGGGCATTTTGTGCAGCCAGGAATGGCAGTCCCAGCATAAAGAGCTCATCAGCTAGGGCCAGGTTCAAGATGTAGACATTGGTCACCGACTCGCTCACAGAGTGCCGCAGGACCACGTAAATGACCAGAGAATTCCCAGCCAGCCCCACCACGCAGACAATGAGGTAGACCAGGGGGATGAGGACACCGCTGACAACCACACCAGGGCTGGCGGTGGTGGAGCCGTTGGGGGTGGTGAAGCCTGCCCAGCTGCCAGAGGCATTCCCCTCCTCCGACACTGCCGGCGTGGGGAGGCTGAAAGCAGAAGTGTCCATAGCAGAGGCAGGGAAGAGGGTGGGGGGCAGTGTCCTTGCAGGATCAGTTAGCAATCTGGAGGTGAGAGGAGGAGAAAAAAGCCATTGATACTGGGGACATGACAGATGAACAAGCCACAGATAAAATCACCACATTAACTGTGTGTAGGTATGGACAGGCATGGGAAGTCGAGGTGAGTTTGTGGATGTTGGCAGCTGCTGGAAGATGTAGGACAATATCGATTCTATCTAGTCCTGGGAGGCACAGTGGGCATGGAGGAACAGAGACATGACTCAGTTCGGTCCAGTGGATCCTCTCATGTAGGGAAAGATCATCTGGGGAAAGAACCACAGACTAGGATACAGACAGGGAAATTTCTCATTTTCTGCTAATGGCTCCAGTAGTGAGCATAGTCACCAGGAGCCTGATTCTCATGAGTGGCAGGTGCCTTACGGTCAAAAGAGGGGAAGAGCATCCAGTGACAGAGTACCATTCCAACACTGGTTCCCCCATTCACTGAGTATCTCCCACTTGCTGAAGCTTTTTTTTTGGGGGCTGGCCAGGCTATTGTGGGGTTGTTAACCTCACCAGCAGAAACAAAAGCACCTCCACTCTCAACCCAAGCTGAGGGGCTGAGCTCAGCACCTGAGCTAGAGGGTAGCTGGGTTTTGTGTTAAGCCAGTTTGAGAGTAAAGGAAGAGCCAGATTATTTTGGGTACATCAAGAGGGATCAGTCCACATCCCTCTTGACTCTTTCTCTCTTGTTTTCACTCTCTCTCTCCTCCCGTACCCTGCAGCACACTGCTAATTGAAGAGACTCTGCCAACACCAAAGCAGTGTCCCAGCCTTCCTCATCTGAGGTGCCCAATTGCCCGTCACATCAGGGTTTGGCATGGAAACAGCACTCAGATCACTCAGAGAGAGCCTTGAACAAACAAGCTCTCTATTCACCCACAGCTCTGTGCTGACACTGGGTGGGAAGCTGCAGGGAGAGAAGACACAGATAAGGGAAGGACGTGCCTTTTGTCTTTTTTCGGGGCTCCAGATATGTGAGATACATTGTCCAGCATATACTCCAGATAAGAGACACCCTGGAAAACCTTATGAAGAGGGAATCTGGGATGCTTTCGGGATCACTCTAGCTCTGGCAAAATTTTCTAGAGGTGTGGACTGGCAGGGTCATCCTCTTGATGAACTAGCTCCTTGGAAGGGAGGATGACTTGGTGGAAGAGAAGAGGGACCCTGAGGCTCACCTTTACCAATCCTGACAAATCTCTTGGGGCTCTGAAGCTCCTTTCTTCCTGAAACAAAAACTGGGGATCTCAAAGGAAAGGACTCCCAATATTAACTACTTTCAGCTGGCCAGAAGCACTCCAGAGACTTTTCTCCCAGATGGGATTCTTTGTAGCATTACAACTTCCTTCACAAATGTCTTCATATTACAGCTTTTATTCTTTTTTGTAGATGTCATTCCAACTTCTGGAAACCTTAGGGGAGACCTGAGCTTTAGATGGATTTCTTGGATATTAGATAGGCAAACCCAACAGACTCTACAGTTGTGTCCAATCTTATGCTGAATAAACCTCATCTGATAGGACCCATAAAAACACAATTGGGCAACTATGTCTCAAGGCTGTTTCTACAGGCTATTGCATAAATGTTTCCTGCTATACTTAAATGAGATTTAAAGGACTGGAATTGTTTAGACTTTCTTTATTTGCAGGTGCCTTGGGCTGTGACACACTGTCCTGCTGGAAGCCAGTCTCCTGGGCTCCTGTGGCACTGGGTTGTCCCACACATCATGAGTGGCTGCAACGAGTGGGCAGAGTAGGAAGTGACTTGAAACTGTATTTCTCAGCTCGATGATCTTTCCTTTGATATTTTTTTCCACTGCTGTTCCAGGGATGCAAGTCACTTGCTGGAGGAAAGGGGATGGAAGTGGCTGGTCTGGGGACAAAGATACTTGCAAAGTGTGGCAGAAACCAGAACAGTATGCTCATAAAAAGATGATCCTCTAAAAGGTGGGGGGCGTAGTTAGGAATCCCTCCTGAATGTTCCTCCTGCATGCACAGGAATTTCCAAAAAAAAAAAAAAAAAAAAAAAAAGCATTTGGAGACAGAGCCCTACAAATATCAAATATGGATGGGAACACTTGTGCTAGGGCTGGAGAGCAGTTGGGGAAGTGTCTGGGGTCCAGACTTCAAAGCTGATTGCTCAGGCTGTGGTTTAGCAATACAGTAAACTCAGCTCCAGGGCTCTAAGAGCCCTATCAACAATACTAAGGCATGCAACACAAAGCACTGATTCACTATAAACTCATTTTCCTGCTCAGACAGCTGCAGTGGAGAAACTTTGTCTTTCAGCAGGCATGGTCTGTCTGTGCCATTCTAACTTTGTCACGTACCATCTACCAGCTCAAACGCTGTATCACCCATTCTGGCTGGCTTGGCAGAACAACCACTGGACACCAGTGCCTCATCTGGGTTGGATCCACTCTGCTGGCCATTTTGGCAGCACCCACATAGGTAGGAATTGATGAGGAACCTTGGCCTCAGACTGACAGTGTGATGGCATCTGCTTGGGGTCTGTCCCTGGATGTGGATAGCACCTGTTGCAAGAGGCTTGGGATCCCCTAACAGGTGCTGCCAGAACATAGCTGGTCCATACATTTATCTGGAGAGCAGGAGGAAGGCAGAGAGGTAGGAAGAGATGGTAAATTGGTGCTATATATACATATTAAAAAAAAAAAAAAAAAGATAATTAAAAAAAAAGAAAAAACATATTTCTGCATTGAATGAGAGGAGGAGGTGGATGCTAAAAGCTGAGCCTAGACCTGGTTACAAAACAGGAATAGAAGCTGGGAGGGACCACAGAGTCCAATAACCTGCAGCCCCTCTTGCCACCCTCCCCTCCCGTCCACCTTGTTTCCCCGTGGCCCTACGCCAGCTCAGGGCTCCCTCTGCCTCCCCTCGGGGCTGAGCTCTCTGGTAGGGACCAGGCTGAGCTGCCAGAGTCGGGGGATCGGGGCGATGGGGAGGGGGGGGTGGGTGGGGTGGGTGTCGCGGGTTTCCTTCTCTGTGGCAGCAGAGTTAACTTCTGCGTGGACTCATGCCCGCGGGAGACATCTGGGAAGAGCGGTCAGAGCCGCCTGGTACTTACGTGTCGTCGGGAGGTACATTTTCCTCTGCTTCACCGGGAGAAGCCGTGTCATGTTTTCCCCCCTTCCCCTTTCTTAAAAAGCAATTGAGCAAAGCGGTCCCAGGAGGGAGCGAGTCCCACCACGCACTACCGGAGACGCAAGTCCTTCCTCCTGGACCTGCCCATCGCCCCCTCCGTGACCGGTGTGGGACTGGGGCCCACTCCCGTGCCCGCTGGTGGCCGCCCGGGGATGCGCCGTCCCTCGCCCTCACGTCGGCGGGTCTTTCTTCCCACCCCCCCCCCCCCCCCCGCTGCCCTCTCCATCTGCGGGAGTGGGGGGGGCTCGTCTGCCGGGCTCGGGCAGACGGCGTGGAGTGGAGTGGCGGCTACCGGGACACGGATACCGGCAGCCAATGGGCGCCACGCACGGAAACACCGGCAGGAGAAGGAGGGGATGGACGAGAGGGCAGGAGAACGGAGGGGAGAGGGGGGAGAGACCGGGACGGAGGATAAAAGGGGGGAGAGGGAGGCGCGGGAGAGGGGCAAGGGGAGAGGGAGAGCGCAGGGGAGGGGAGGGTGGAGGTATGGGGGGTGCGATGAAAGAAGCTGTGGACTGTGGAAGGGATAGGGAGAGAGAGAAGGGAGGGACGCAGGGAGCAGCTCCGTGGTGGGAGAGCGGCGTGGCAGGAGCGGGGGGACTCGGCTCGGCTCCCCTGGGCTGGGGGGGGGGGGGGGGGGGAGTTGTGGCAGAGCGAAGTGCCCTGTGGATGCCCACGGGCGCACGGGAGGGGGGATTCTGTGTTCCGAGGATCTTGCGGGCAGGACCGGTGCTGGTCAGAGCTGCAGGGACATGGCAAAGCCCTCTGGCTGGAAAGATGCTGAGAAACCGGGGTGGATGCTGAGCACACAAACCCTTCTTCCTTCTGTTCTGCCCTACAGGCACCTCCAAATGGATGGAGCTGAGGGCAGATTGGGCAAACGGGGGGGGGGGGGGGCTGTCTCATCTTTCTCCCTCCCCTGCCTCCATGCACAGTGTCACATCTTTTGCACCTTCTTTGGGCAAAAGCTCCAGTTCAACAGCCCCAAACTGTCCTACCAGATTTCATCTCTGCTGCAAGGAGTGAACCTGGAAGAAAAGGGGCAGGGCAAGAAATTAAACTCCTCTGTGTAAGCAGTTCTCCCAGGAAGGAAATTAGGATTTTCCCATCCCATTCCCTGCACAAAGTGCTTCCCTGTAGTCCTCAGCCCCTTGCCTACCGTGCAGACAGCATCAGTGACTCCTCGTGCTGTGCAGTCACCCATCTGTCGACATTTGGCACTGCTGGCATGAGAATTTGAGCTCCTAGGGCCAGTTCCAGCCTTACAGAAGTAAGGAGTATTTCTGAAAGCAGAACATAGCCGGGGTCTAAAACCTGGCCTTCCAAACCTGCTTGAGCAATTTTATGTCCAGCCAGTGCTGCTCAAGGGTGAACAGGTGAAGGCAGTACAGGGCTTTAAAGCTGCCAGGGTGCCTTAGTCTAGATCTTGGAGATGCACAAGAGAGATGAGGCCTCACCGGTGAAGGAATGGCATGGGCAGCACCCAGTGGTTATCTTTGTCATGGCAGAGCAGGTATCTGCAGCACCATGCAGGGAGCCGCCAGGCTTAGAGAAAACAGAGCCATGCAACAGCAGAGCTCTACCCAGGACAGCTACTCCTTGCAGGGCTTGTTAGCATAAGCGGAGTCATAAGATCACAACTTCCAGGTCTCCAGCTCGCTTCCTCAATGCTCGGAGTCCTGCCCCGTTCTCTGCCTCAGCCCCAGCAGGGTTGTGCAAAGTACTCGAACTGTGTTGGAAGGAGAGCTCAGCCTGTGCACCTCCACAGGAAGGCAGATAGATAAATTTTGTTTCATGCACGTGGTAAAGCTCTCCTCTCTGCATTGCTGTACGTGATAAGGGATGGGGCAGACTGAGAAGGTAAGAGCCAAGGCTGGAGAGGAAGTAATAACCCACTCAGAATTCATTGGTTTGAGTAATGTTTAAGATGTTTAAGAGAGGCTAGATCCCAGTCTCAGGGGCTTTGTGTTTCCTGCCCTTCCACAGGTATATACCCACACCAGAGACTTAATTTCTGCTCTTCTCGACTTCTGTTGACACAATTTACGTTACCTTTGGATGGGGCTTGGGCAATTCGTCCAGCAGCCCACGTGCAATACAGACATTTGTGGAACTCGCTGCCACAGGATGTCCTCCAGGGTTGCTCTGGACATTTTCAGTGGCTCACGTGTCACATCACTGAACTAACTGCCTTCCTCAGATCTGACCAGGAACTGAATTTGCAAAAATTTCCCTGGCTGCAGGGTACCTCAGGGGCTTCACTGTGGCTGGGCTGTTGCTGACACTACCCGTGTGCAGGAAGCAGCCTCCGCCACTCAGAAGAGGTGCTGCATCGGGGAGCGGCAGGCTGGCTCAACTCCACAGTTTGTCTCTGCCCTCCTAGGACTGCAGGATTTTGCAGCACCAATCATTGCACCCTGAGCCCTCCTCCCTCCCGCAAGCTGTGGCAGTAGCAGCCATCCTGTAGCACTTCTTGCTCTCAAGTCCCTGCAATGCATCAGCAAGGCAGGTGCTCACAGCTGCCAGATCCATAGTACCGCTGGGACCACTCTCTTCAGCTTAATTTTAGTGACTTGGAGGCAATTTGTCTGGACTGGTGACTCATTCCTTGCTCTTTTTTTTTTTTTTTTTTTTTTTTCCCCTGCCCTCCTCCTTCGTGTTCTCACTCTGCCTGTGCCTGGCAGCATGAGTGAGTGCCAGTAACGATACGACCGCCTGTGACGTGAGCTTGGGAGCGTTAATGCAGATATGTTTTAGTGAAAGGGTGGCCCCAGCAACCTGCAGTGGCAGTCCCCACAGAGAGGAGTTGAGGCCCGGGTGTCCCCTCCCAAAGCCTGCATCTCATCCTCTGTGTGTCTTGGAAGGGAGACAACTTTTCCTTTGAATGCATGGAGGCTGAGAAGAAGCAGGGCAAAAGCTGAGGTGAAACGACCCTGCTGCCTTTGGCAGGCACACGGTATCTGCACTTTACTGAGGAATGAAGGGGGCTCAGCTGAGAACTTAGCAACTCGGCGCATGAAGCAGGCCTCATCTCTTCATTTTACAGTGACTGGGGCTCCCTAGCACCAAACTCAGCGCGGTGCTGCCTGGGTGTTCACTGCAGGTGCCTCCACCCCAGCCATCCCATCGCTCACTTCTTCAGGGCTGCGTTCCGCCCGAGGTGCAACACATCACGGACGTGGCAAGAACATACGGTCTGTTTATTGGGTCTTATTCACTACGTTGTGACCTCGGGGGTCGGTGAGGAAGGGAAGGGGCAGCTGGGGTGGGGTGAGTGTGGGGAAGTTGTGCAAATGGACAAACCAGTGCTGCAGACCCACAACAGTCTTTCAAGCCAGCAGAAGTCAAAAGCGCAGTGACCCCCACAAGGTACTGAGCTCCGGGATGCTGGAGCCATCGCACTCTCCTGCATGCTGGGCAGAGCCTGGCGTCGGGACGGGGCTGGGATCTGTAGCCAAAAACATGATAGACCTTGTGAAACCAGCTTGGCTATTTTTTGGCTCTCCCTCCCTCTGCCCTGGTGGCGGTGGTAGAACGATGGGGCCAGGTCCCAGCTAGAAAGATCTTTATCTTCTCTCTCCTCAGGCTCTGGCCAGCTTTGGCTCTTGTCCTGAAGCCTCTCTCCTCCCTCTGCTGCCTTGGGCTGAAGGGGAAGGGCAGGTAGGGACAGTATGAGGAGTAAAGGAGTCCCTAGGGGAGAAGCTGCTGCCTGCCAATGAAGAGCAACACAAACCCTGCCTTAAGGTCAGCAGGGCCTGGTAAGAGGAAGGGCCATTGGGCAACTGCCATGAATAGGGAACAGCCTTTTTTTTTGTGTTGTTTTGTTCTATAGGCAAAGGCTGCATGTTCACACCTCTCACAGCAGGTCACCCTTAGGCAGCCTGGATGCAGTTCCCTCTGTGGCAGAAGGTGACAGACAGTTCTTTGTGAGGACAGAGGTGGAAAATCCTGGGCCACCCAGCACAAGGAGAGAGGGGCAAACCTGCCCAGGGGCAAGCAGCAAGGAGGGGGAAGTGGCTCAGGGGTCTGTGTGCTCCATCCTACAATGTCCTGTCCTTTTCCCAAGCAGGACTGCTGTCTCCCTCTCTCTTTTTGAGGGTGACCCATCCCACCAGGCACAGTAGGTCATAAGAACTCAGTGGCCCTGACCATCTGAGCTGAGGAGCAGGAAAATGCCACTGGTGCCACTCCCAGGGATCCCTTTCAGACTTACTCGCTTAGAGGAGGCTGCATACACGTTTCTTTGTCCGGGTGGGCTGAGGACAGAGGACTGCTCGGATGGCTTCATCAAACACCGTCTTGAGGCCACGCTGCGTCAAAGCCGAGCATTCGAGGTATTTCACAGAGTCTGTCAGGAGGAAAGCAGTTGCTGTAATGGGGAGGAAGGGAACTGGGGGGGAGGCAGTGGGGGTACCCAGGAGTCTGCTGCCAAGGGTGCTCAGAAGAGAAACACACAGGAGGAATACCACAGATCCCATCAAGCAGAAAGAAACGCACGTGCCTGTGTCACCAATGTGTTTCTGGCTCACATCATTTCACAGCCACTACACCCTCCTCCCTCGGTCCCCATTATACAGTGTCCTGAGGCACATAAACACCGCCTAAACACCACGAGTCTTGCCTTGAGACAAGGTCTCAAGTCTCCAGTGTCATTCAGACTGCCTGGCCTCAACCATCTCTGGTGGCATCTCAAATCACATGGCACCTCTCTTTTGGGACTCTGTACCCTCAAATTCTTAGAGACTTTCTTCTGGAAATCGAGGCACCTGGCTCTTATGTGAGTTGAATAAACACAGCTCAGGTGATCAAAGCTATTAAGCATCGTCAGGACACACCTCCCTCACTCACTCAGGCAGTCTTGACTTCAGAGCAAAGCTTGCCAGCTGTACAAGACCAGAGTTTGGCTATTCTCCACCCTTGTAGCCAGAGCAGAGCCATTGCGTGAGGCTGGCTGTGTTATCTTGGTGTGGCACCCTCTCCAAACTTCCACCTGAAAACTTCTCCCTCAAGCTGTGTTTCCCACCTCTCTCCTGCCTCTGTGTGCTGCATCCGAGAAGAGAGGTTATCTGGAACAGGCATTTGTGCATGTCCTGAAATATGGGAGAGAGCTGATGCCCCTGACATGAATGGTGGGGTGAGACACGCATACCCAGGGTTGCATGTATAAGCCCTGGTAGTCAGAGGCAGGGGCAGGAAGCTGCAGTTGCAACTCTTCCTGAGAGATGTTAGAAAACTCACTCTTCCGCCTCTTTCCGGATGTGGAGTAGAGGCCTCTGCCCACACAGCAGCTGCAGCTTTCACAGAAGAATATTGGCCCAGATAGAAATAGCAGAGTAAAAGGGGAGGGGAATTTTCAAGTGTCTATTTGTGTGTGGGGGTGGTGGTGTCTAGAGAGGCAGA